ACAATTCCTTTAAAAACCAGGTGTTTCCCCTAGCATGTGTAAATAATTTTACTTACAAAAATGTACATACAGATTTTCAGAAACTTGAGGTATATTTATTCACACAGCAAAGAGGTAGTCAGAAGAATTCACTATAGCTAAAGTTAAATTTATTTTTAATTAAAAAACTTAATACCCTTGAATTGTTTACTTTCTCTTTTTTTGGCACTTGGATCTTTTATTTCCCTGTTGTTATATGAAGATCAAACACTGATTATTATCAATGAGACATGTGATTTCAGCTCTTCCCCAGCAATGTTAAGAAGCCAGGGTCTCCTAGCCCAACTCCTACCTGTGGATGACCAGGTAACTAGCTGAAGTCAAGGATGACATATTGAGGCCAGAGAACACAGCAAAATTTTGTATGGTTCTCCCAGAACAAACAAAACCATTTGCCTGACCAATCTTCCAGAACTTAAAAAGTATACTCAAAAAGTAATTCCGTATCTGTTTAACCCCTATTAGGAAACAATCTCATCATGAGGTAAGATTCAAATTCAACTAAAGTAAGAAACTATGCTTAACTATGAGAATGTTTTAAGTCTGAAAAGAACAATCTTAAAAAATGTTTTTTTGGCACTAAAATCTGTGCATCCTTGGGCTGGACGATGGTACAATGGGTAGGGCAATTTGCCTTGCATGCAACTGACTGGGGTTCAATCCCCAGCATCCCATACATTCCATGATCATTGCCAGGAGTAATTCCCGATGGCAGAGCCAAAAATAAGCCCTGACCATTGCCCCGGTGTGACCCAGAAAGCAAATAAATAATAAAATAAAATCTGTCCATCCTTACAACACCCCCTCTTCGACCCCGCCCCCAAAGTTCCAAATAATAAAAACTGAAAACATTTTCTCAGATCTGTACCACCATGGGGGCAATGAGAGATAATGTATTATAAAATAGATTGTCAGCACAAACAGTACAGCCATACTCTTGCTCAGAAGCAATTTGTAATCATTATATTTCATGGTCACATGGTCACAGTCACAGTCCTCCCGTTGTTCATCGATTTGCTTGAGCGGGCCCAGTAACGTCTCCATCGTGAGACTTGTTGTTACTGTGTTTGGCATACTGAATACATCACGGGTAGCTTGCCAGGCTTTGGCGTGAGGGCGAGATACTCTTGGTAGCTTGCCGGGCTCTCCAAGAGGGGCGGAGGAATCGAACTCGGGTCGGCCATGTTGGCTGTGTGCAAGGCAAACGCCCTATCCACTGTGCTATTGCTCCAGCCCTATTTTAAAAAATTAGATATGATCTTAAATGCTATTTTAAAATGCTTTCCTGCTATCCTGTTCCATTCAGTAGCCGCTAATCTCACGTTACTATTTAAAATTCAATACAACTAAGGTTTTAATTCGTCCATGCCAATTATTTTTCAGAGACTCAATAGTTATAGACTAGAAGCTCCACACTAAAGAGCACAAGGAACATTTTCATCTTTGATCAAAAGTAATGTTACTTACAAAAAAAAAAAAGTAATGTTACTTACTAGGCAGCACTGATCAGAAGAAAGTGCAACGTGCTAACAGTTACATTTTTTAAACTCAAATATTAAAAGCTGTTTAAACCTATCACTGTATCTCTTGGCTACAGGTTAATACTGATCTTTGCTTACAGATGTGAAAGAATGGTATTAACCTTCTGGTTTTTAAACAATTTAGGAAATATTGGGAGTTCCTTATCAGGCCCTAAACACAAACTCAAATTATTTTCATAACATGACTACAAAGCAACAAAATGAAGATTTGGCATGCACGATGGAAGTAATTTAGCAATCATATGGTTAAAACAGACTTCTTCCTTCTGTTAATATCCCCAAATCCTGAATTAATAAAAGCATGCATAATTACCACTTAAACTTAAGAATGGAGCAAAAATTCCTTCAGCTATTACTCTATTTTGCTTTGAAGTCTTAAAAAAAAAAGCACATGTTGAAAATCAGTAAATTAAAAACTGTCTTCCAAATAATATAGAATTGGCCAATGAAATTCTATATATTTTGACTATTTCCTATAAAATAACGACAAAAAAGTTGTGGGGTTAAAACAAAGTCGTTCCTCAGTTGTATTAATATCGAACGAACATACGTGTAGACTACTTCTTTAAAATTAAGTTTACATTATTTTCAAATTTAATTTTGCAGAACACAAAGTAGAGAGACATACATACACTACTTCTTCAAAATAACTCATGCATGGGAGTCAGAAAGTGAGGAGCAGGATAGATAGCTAATTTTTAAAAGACAAAAACAAAATAACCCAATCATAAAATGCACACAGCTGTATCTAAAAGAAAAATGCAAACACAACGTAACCATACTTTATTTGACTGCATCTTATTTAGACAGCTTGCACATTTCAAATCCCATTAAAATCTCTCTTTCCAAAAGGATACGGGACAATAGAAGAAAATTATGCAGCAATATCCAGTCAAACAGCAGTCCAATATTTTGAGATACACGTGATATTTTATAGATACTCAACTCATATCTGACGTCAATATAATTTATGGTTATGTTTTTACAAACCTGAAAGCCCTGTAACATTATAGCACTCACTTTAGTGATGTCATGGTGCACTGAAAAGTAATTATGATGCACTACCAATTTGCTTTTATCTATGCTCTTGGAAAGTGATGAAATTCATGATTTTTTAGATACCATAATAAATATACACATCCAGACTTATACATGTCAGCCAATACCATAACACAGGGCAAGGTAAAGTTAAAATGTGACAAACAAACTCGTTTACATAGATTTGTCAAGCAAATAGGGAGGGTAATTTGGGGAAAAGAGACAGAAAATATCAAAACCAAATTTTAATAGTAATTACTTCTTTTTTTATTTGCTGGCTTAATATTAAAGAACTACTAGTTTCTGGTCTTGTTTCTGACCTGTGGAGTAGTTTCATCCTACTAAAAGGGAAATTATAATCAGCCCACACATCAAAAATGGTAGGATACCCGTTAGCTTCTTCAATACTAACATATATAGATAGCTTCATGGTAGCATATATAAATATGTTCAGCAGTATGAACTGCCAAACCAGTGTCAGTGGATAGTACAGTCAGTCTTAAAGAGACAGCACCCCATTAAAAGAAAGTTGCACCAGTTTTGCTCAGTTTTAGTCAAAGTGAACTATCAATTTTAAATGGAATTCTTTTACAATTATATAAGTGAAATCCAATATCAAAATGTAAGTTAATATTCAATGTTTGTTCAACTAAAATGGAGACTTAATTTTGGTGCTGGGTTATCACGATAGAGATGTGAAACTTTTAGCCTAAGTAAATATGTAGTCAATTAAAGACATAAGGTCATTGTTGATGAATATACCAGTTTGTTGGCAAAATGGCAACCATTTGACTTTTTAGTCACATAGTTAAGGCCATGTTTACAAACACCCAGTCAATTCAGCAAAACCTAGTCAGCTCAGGGAAAAAAGGTCAATAGTGACGGTTTCACAAACAATCTGCCAAAAACATAGTGGTTAAACCAGAAATCTAGCATGGTACCTACTTTAGAACTATTCCATTAGTAAAGCAAACAGCTGTATAATCATCAATAATCATTACCTATGAACCAGCAAGTCAAATATAAGGGGTTGAGATAAAATTTGAAAATGTGGTTCAGATCCCTCCATCACTATGATTGGTATTCCCTCGAAATCCCAAAGCCCAAATGAAGTCTGAGCAAAAACATTACAAACAGTCAGCTGGAATGCTAGGTATTTGTGTGGTCATAATTTTAATGTAATCAGTATTCTTCATATAAACTTTAAGAGCAATAAAGAATGTAAAGTTTTCTTTAAAAACAATAGTCATAAATAATCCCACAGTAGGAAGGTTAGAGTTTTATCAAATCTGTGTATCTTTATTGGAAAAGCACTCGTCATGTGTTCACTTTCAAGACACTATACTGAGCAAGGAACAGCTTTCCTTTTTTAAAAAAAAAAAAAAAAGGCAACAAACTTTCCTGAAAGGGGGCTTTTGCTTTTACCAACTGTTAATGGAGGTAGGGTTTTTAAAATTACAGTAATTATAATCATAAAATACAAATCAAACCAAATCCTAGAAATAAAGCATATCCAATTTAAAGGAAAATAAAAGATGATAGATTTCTACAAAACATTTTTCACAGAGAATGAACTTTTTTTAAAATGAGTACCAAGGTTTTCCAGTTAAATAAATTATCCATCATAAGTTTCCTGACTTAACTCAAAGCAATAACTTTAAATTTGTTACACAGCACAGACTGGCCAAAACACAATGCAGCCTGGTGATGGCCATTAAGAAAACCCATGGAACTCATTCCAAAAAAAAGCAAAAAAAAACACAAAAACCAAAAAAAAAAAAAAAAAACCAGAAAACCAACTCCATTTCCCATATTCCTTTTTGTTTTTCTGAGAACTAACCAAAGATTCCCAGTTTGCTCAAATAAGTGAAAAGAAATCGGTTATAAATGGTTACAATGCACCTTGAAATTTATTTCCAAGACCAAGAACTAAAGTATATTAAGAAATGGAACCAGTGTGAATCCAACTGGGGGTAAAAAAAGTTCCAACTGCTTTGTGGAAGCTAGCCTTCAAAGCTAGGCAATAATTTCAATTAAATAAAATCAATCATACCAATTTACATAAATTTTATATTCTTTTCAAAAAATTGTCACAAAAAAAAGTGCATCCAAAACCCAACAACTCCCAACTCCATCAACTTTTCCCACCCCCTTTGAGCCATCTGTGAAAGATTCTCCAAGTAGATTCAACATATTATTGTTAGGAAAGAAAGGACTTATAAAGTAAACCACTGTCACTCACCTGGAAAAAGTATCCAAATTATAAAAATCTGAAATAATTTATTATCAAATTTAGAATTTAAATAAAAACACAAGTTTGCTTGCAAAGGCCTTAAAGAAAGGGATAGCATGCATTTTAAAAACTAGAGATGAAGACAAGTATCTACACAGGCACTGGCAGACGCAATTTAATGGTTATCTTTACTCATTTGTAAGACACACCCAACCCTACATTACAGTTTTTCATTCACTAATCACTGAGGTACCAATATTCAAGAATGGAAATTTTAATATTGAAAAAATAAAACCTAAAATTGAAGCTTTTACCCCACCCCCTTTCAGAAAATTATGGCAGGTTCCATGTGAAATGTTAGTAGAGAATTTTACAACCTACATTGGCTTTTAAGGAACAAAAAACATGTTCCACTTACTGGTTCTGTGATAAAATGACCACTGTGTAAATAACATTGTCAGCAGACTTTGTAAATGAACAAACAAATCTTGGCTATCGACTGGCACATCCTGTTGGTACCAATAGAACTCTTGCTGTTTAAAACAATCTCTTTTAATTCAGAACAAATGCGCCATGCCAAAGTGCAACAAATATTGTGCGACACTCAATGAGACACTGACAGATAAGAGCTGCATGGAAATTACTAAATCCACCTGCAAAGCAATTCTGTACAAATTGCATTGCATGCAAAGGTTGACTCTGTGTTGTTGGAAAGATGTTCTTTGATGTCATTTTCTCAACGCAGCCACAATTTAAGTCGCAGTGCATCAACTCCATTTAAATAGTATCTGAATAGCCTCTTATCTCGAACAAACCCAAGATTTTCATAAAGTTTCAATGCAGACTTATTTGTTATTTCTGTTTCCAAAACAACCTTAAAAAAAGAGAGAAAATCAAGTTATAATTTCTATATCTGAAACTAATTTATCATTTCATAATTTCACAAATCACTTAAAAAGGAACAACTGGATCAAATATTTTTTTAAAAATACACACTTTATAAGGCTGGAGAGATAGCTCTAAAGACTGAATTATTTGCTTTGCATGCAGGAGGGCTGGTTTTAATACCTGGTACCATATGCACCCCTGAACACTGCCAAGCGTGACCCCCCCCAAACAGACCTGCGAGTCATCCCCAGAAACACCAGGTGTGTGGTCCAAACTCCCTTCACCAAAGAGAAAGAAAACACACATTTAACTATTTTAAAAACTGATAATTGGCAGAAACAAGTATTAAAGATGTATTGAAAGAAGTATGAAAAATAGTCAAAGGTAGTAATAGCAATTTTCTCCCATGGCGAGAGGTGGGAAGGGTGCACCTTTGGCTTTTTTCTCGAATATCAGTGCTAGGAACTTAATCAGTAGTTTCACATATGCAAGGCATAACTCTGAGACACACACCTAGCCATTTTTTTCCTTAATAAAGGCCACACCCATTAGTGCTCAGAGGGCCATGTGATACCAGAGATTTAACTCAGGATCTCACACATGCTAGGCATATGCTCTACCATTTCTGCTATCTCCATAGCCCTTACTTTCTACTCTGAGTTTAGTAATATTTGGAATCTTATGCAATACATATTTTATACAAAGATGACACAAGAAAGTATTTCCCTGTAGATAAAGGATAGAGAAGCATCACCCAACATTTAAGAAAATAAACTACTTAAAACTGTCCAGATAGAGTTCAGTTTCAACTCTTATATTTTCATTAATTTGTCATAATTCATCATGGCAACAACTATCATTGTCCAGACTAGCAATTCACAAACTACAATCCTTAATCCTGCTTGTTTTTGTTAATAAAGCTTTATTGCAATACCGTAGTGTATTTGTTTACATGAAATGTATAGCAATAGCCAAGCAGTGCTTCAGAGACCTTTAGCCAGCAAATTCTAAAGTACAATCTGGTTCACCGCAGAGAAATTTTACAGAGCAAAAGACACCAAAGACACCCCAACTTTAGTATACACCATCCCACCTAGGAGACCTGGTAAAATAAATTGCAGAATCCCACCTCCTCCAGAATATCTAAATTGGGTGGGATGGAACTCAGAATTTGAATTTTAACAAACTAGCAGGTGATGCTGCTGCTTCTGGTCAAGGGACTATAATTTGAGAAACACTCTCTATTATGAGTACTTACACTTGAGCCAGAAAGATAGTTCAAAGATAGCATGCTTTGCAAAGGGGAAGGCCCAGCTTAGTTTTGCAGTTATTACTATTACTGGTATGCAGTTGGTTTGAGCCACACCCAAGTAATGCTCAGGGACTTACCCCTGCCTCTGACCTCACCCCTGCAGTGCTATGTGATCCTTGAGAACAAAGCCAGGTGAAGCCCTTAAGCAAGATGTTGCTCAAGGACTCCCCCCAAAAAATAATAAATATCAACATATAACACAGTGTTTCCCAAAGTAGATGACATCATCCCTCATATGGGGGTACACTGGACCAATCTAGAGAGTAGCAGCCTCAGGAGCAGCTGGTGGGTACTTTCTTTTCAAAGAAAGTAGATTTCCAGAGGGCTCTGATTCTTTATTCTTAAAAGAAAGAAATGTGCAGTATTAACTTCTATCTGGACTTTTTAAATATTATTTTAACAATGTCCCTAAGAATAAAGAACTGGTACTTCTGAACATTATGTGATTTTCTTAATTACTCCCTCCCCATAGCAAAATATCCTCTATCCCATTCTCCCAAATTTTATACACACACACACACACACACACACACACACATACTTATGTATATATACCTCTACTTACTTTTTCTTTTGATTTTTAAGATACTTAAGATACTTCATTGAGAATTATCAATATAATGAGCCACAGTTACTCTTGGACAATCACAACTTTCTGATGTTTAGTGTGGGGAAAAAATGGAGCAGGCAAAGTACAGTTAAAGACAAATGTAATTTGTATGCCTGTCTCTTCCCATTCTATTGCAAGCTACCAATAACTATGAATTCAAGCTATAGATGCAAATGAGAACAAAACTATACCTCAGTTTAATGCACTCAAAACTGATTCACCAACTCCTCCATAATTCGATAAATATCAGTAAAAAGATCTCCATCTTACCAATGTATCAAATGTAAAATCCTGGAATCATCTTCGAGTCTCTTTCCTCTTTACCTCTTTATATACATCTAAACACTGAGCATTTTAATCCTGCTAATTATCACATTGGTCCTCATTTTTTCTATCCCAAGTGATATAGCCTTTCATTGTACAGAACCTCCTACTCTGGAAGGTAATTCATTCTAAGCAAAGTGATACCATTTATTGATTCCTTTTTATCCATAAGATAAAGTCTATAATTTAAAAACCTAGAGGGCCTATCACTATAAAACACCAAGTGACCTTATTAGCTTTATGTCTCCCTCCTTGCTCTCCTAAATCAACACTAAACTTTGCTTTCAGGAAACCACCACCACCTTTCTCATCTCAGACCTTTTATATAAGCTGTTGCCTCCACCTGAAAGAATGCTCATTCAGTCTTTTGTGTCAATTTCTGAATTGGTAAAATATTCAGAACCAATTTCTGAATATGTAAAATATTCCTTTCTTTTTACAATACCCCACAACACTCTTCACTAGTCCTTATTCAACTGTACTATCAATCAACAGTTAGATGAGTATGTCATCTTCCCAAGCTGGTAAGAGAAACAAAAGCAAGAACCAAAGGGACCCACTTCAGAGCTGTTTCTTCTGCACTTAATGCACTGTAGAAATTTTCAGTACTTAATTACATACGCCAAACACAGTAACAACAACGTCTCACAAAATGGAGACGTTACTGGGCCCGCTCCAGCAAAATGATGAACAATGGGAGGACAGTGCTACAGTGCAACTACATATATTCTTGTATCATTATATTTTTATATTACATAACAATTATCAAGCTTTTAAATGACCAGCCTAGTTGAAAACAATACCTTAGAACAATTACTTATGCAAATAATTCGCAACAGTAAGTCACATACTTTATCTGAACCTTTAAAAGATCTAAAATCAGGGCCCGGAAGATAGCTCAAGGGGCTGAGCACATGGTTTTAATACAGGAGGCCCAGGTTTGATCCCTGGCACTGCATAATTACTTGAGTATTGCAGGAAGAATTCACAAAAACTTACTCAACAAGTAATGGCCAGGGGAAAAATTTTTCTTGGACACCAACTCAGGCTGAGACATCAGTGGAACCCGGAGAGAGCGGGTCATCCCAGTGACCACCCAGAGACCTGGAAACTCCCACAGTAAAACTGCCACCATGTGTCCAGCTGGACTCCATTGTTTCAGGACAGAACCTCACCCAGAAATTAACCTGCTGAAAATTTGGATATGTGGGTCTTTGTGACTGAAATCTCCAGTGACAACTGTCTACTGCCTCCACTTTCGTACATTTCCAGAAGTCCTGGCAGTCATGCTCACATCCTAAAAACCATCGCCCAGTTAAAATTTTAACTCCAACTGTATCACCCGGTTAAAAATTCCGGACTTCTGGAGAATGCACAATGTCTCCAAACTCTACAACACCCAGTAGTAGCACTCCAGATTGGATGGAATGTGACATAGAAGACAACCAATCTCAACTAACCAAACAGCAACAGGTTAAGAAGGCTTAACCTGCAACATCTCATACAAGGACTTAAGGTCTCCATGGTGAGAGACATCCGTTTACACTAATTTTCTTCTAAGGATACATTTTTTGATCAATTTGTTAGCAATTTATTGATAACAAGCATATATAAATATAAAATAAATTATTGCGGGCCTATTTTGGAGGCAGGTTTGAGGAATGATTGAGAAAATTAGAGACAATGGTGGAGAGGAGGGATTGGTATTAGAATATTGAATGCCTATAACAAATCATCATGAACAAGTTTGCAAACCACAATGTTTATATAAAATACAAGGCCAACAACTTATATAAGTAGGCCTTACTTTATTTCATGTAAACTCCAGAATATTTCAGCACAGATTTTTCTTTAAAAGTTTTATTAATGACAGGTAAAGCATAATTACTACCATAATGAGATCCAAATAGTAAATAAAATTTAATGCAATACATCTTAGATTCCAATGTTGAAAACTTACTTATGGAAATAAGAAGCATTTTATTATATTGTACTAAAGAGTTTTATTTTCCTTGTTTACATAGGTTAAAATCATACAGCAATCACAAATTGGCTCTAATTTCTTTTATGATCATTCTATTTGGCATTTCTTAAAGTTTTGTTGGAACAAATAATATAAGGTAAATTTTTTATGTGTCTAAGGGGGCAAGCTGGGGATGAGAGGGAAAATGGGTACATTCGTGGAGGGAAGGTCACAATGTTGGTTTTGGAACACTAAATGCCTGAAACAACTGTATAATAAATAACTTTGAATATCACTATATTTTTAATAATAATTTTTTTAAAAAATAATAGCCAGCACCTAATTATAGCTGATATGTCAAAACAACTAATATGAAAAGCGGTAACAGAACAACTTGGGACTTGGAACTGATTTTATTTATCTGGGGGGAGGGGGTAGTTGCACCACTTTTATCAATGCTCAGAGGCTACTCCTAGCTCTATGCTTGGGAGCCCAAGCAGTGCTGGGGATCAAATTAGGGACGTCCAGATGCTAGGGTCTTAACTCCTGTGCTCCAACCTCATTAGAGCTGATTGTAAAATAAATAAAAAGGAAGTATTGGAGTGTAGTACAACACATAAAGCCCTGACTTGCATTCAAGTTGGCCCAGGTTTAATCCCTGATACCTCATATGGTCATCACCCAGCCAGAAGTGAACTCTAAATGCAGAGTCAGGAGTAAGCCCTAAGCACAACTGGATGTGACCCCACGCAAACAAACCAAAAAAAAAAAGAAATA